TGCTGGAGGAAGAACGGGTTCAGGCAAGGTGGGATGGGCGTTTGCGTGGGTTGGGGTGCGGGTGTGGGTTGGGGTGCGGGTGTGGGTGTGGGTGTTGGTGTGGGCATTGGAATGGGCGGGGGGTCGCCGGAGGGAGAAGGGGTTCAGGCAAGGTGGGATGGGCGTTTGCATGGGCTTGGGCTTGTGCTTGGGCTTGGGTGTGGGTGTGGGTGTGGGTGTGGGTGTGGGCATTGGAATGGGCAAATGGCGGGGTGGGGGCGGTATTCTCGTGTTCGGATTTGCAGAATTTTCATATGCAATTGAACACCATCTCGCCTGAAGGACATGCAGTTGTCCGACAGCTGATTGACTGGTGTCTTCATCCTTCCGGCCCATCGATCTCGAAACAGGAGATCCAGTACGATATGACTCAGAATGATGCTCCGAGTGAGAATGGAGGACCCTGGCTATGGGATGATGACGACTGAAGCTCTTCCCTGAATGAAGCCCTCACGCCCTTGTTGGATTATGGAATCGTTTTCGGACTCAGTTTTTCCTTATGCTCATTTTTCACTTGTGCTTGCTTGGCACAGTTGTTTGGACCCGTCCCCTCACATTTGTAACCCAGTTTGTAGATGTAAGAGAGAATTTTCTTCCCGGCCTCTCTCTGCTTAGGACATTGTTTGTCAGCTTATCGGAGGCATGCATGCAGGGGCGCACCGTATGAGGTGCAAAGCGAAAGGAAGGTGGGTGGTGTGTGTTATTGATGATAGAATGATTGCCGAATTATCTTAACAAGAATTTCTCTTACGAGGACCGAATTCCCTCAGAAGAGTTCATGTAAAGGTATATCAGATTTTCTCTCTAAGAGTTGAAATAAAATTTCCGCCAAGAATCAAATTCCCTGACGAGCTCTCCGAAAGATTTCTTCAGCACTTTCCGACGCAGATTTTCACTCGCCCTTCTCGAAAGGGTTCAGGCTTGCCCTCTCCTTGTCCAGAGGATGTAACATCTGAAAAAGAAGGCCCACTTTTTCGCTTTCCAGGTCGGCAATGCGAAACTGAGCTGCAGATCAGGATGAGGTATGTGGCCTTTGGATGCGTCATTATTCATTCGTTACCTCTCATGCGTTTTCGGTTCTTGGCTGGCACTCCCTTTCTTTGGTTGGATGTATTCATCACTTTCACATTTTGGTTGTGTTACAGGTTTTTGTTTTGGCAAATACTTTCCTTCTTTGTGGAAGCAGCTCTCATGGATGATGGTTGTCAGTCATCCTTTCGCCTCCTCCCGGCTTTTGTTTTATGTCCACTTCTCTCCAGTTTGTTTTTACCTCTCCAATGTGGAAGTTGTTGCCGTTGCACGAGTTTTGGGGAAAAATGGTGAGCACAGTGCACACCCTAAACCCTAAAGCACCGCTGTCGGATTTGCTTTCCGTCCGGCGCGCTCTTCTCTCTGTTTCTGGCCCTTGTCTCTAGAACGTACGCTCCCAGGTCGGTAGCAGCAGTGGTTGTTAGGGTTGTAGGGACTCACTCGCAATGGCTGCATTGCAAAGTGGACCCCCCCCCCCTCCTTGGCTTCTTGTTCCAAGACTTTGCAGGGGTGTCCATGTTTAGTCTGGTTAGTGAGAAAGGAGTAGGGGAGAAATTCAGGGCTAACAGGTAGAGGATATTGCTGGTATCGTGTTGGGCAATCTTTTTTCCACTTGTGGTAGCCTGGTAGGATCTCAGCAGAATTTTGCGCAGTCGCAGGGGAGTTCGCAAAGTTGCAGTATGTATTGTTTTGCATTTTGTCGCTGTAGTTACTACTGCACGACTTCTGCCGTGAACGAGCCGGGAAAGACCTGGGGAGACATTTCTTTGGTCATTTTGTGCTTGTCAAACGGAGCCCACGTGTGCACTTTCTCCCGAACGATCTGGAAGGGAACAGAGGAGGAGGGGGGGGAAGGACGTGGTGCAAGGGGTGTACAACACATTTGGTCTTTGTCTTTGCGATTTGTATTTTGCATTTGGTAAGGAATTAGGAGATGGCCCTGGCCAACAGTTGTTTCTATTGGGAGTCTACAAATGGTGGGTACGTTTGTGTCCTGTTTTTTTAGGATTGTTTCCAGGAAATATGGTTTTGCACTCCCTTACATGCTGGTCGTTTGGGTCGTTTCCTAGGGCCCAAACGTCTGGTGACTGAACTCAGAAAAGCAAAGGGCCTTGTGGATATTCGGCCGAGTAACGGCTGTTTTGGTTTAGGGTTACCCTCTTCTCTCATCTTGTTATATCTCATCTCCGTTCTGAAGTTGGAAAGCCATGTGATGTGTCACACGACATTTTGCACGGTGTCGTGGGCACTTAAGTAGACTGGATGGGTGAACGTTCAATCGTTGCAGTGGAACTTTTTTGACCCAATGTCTCGTCTTGTCCCGTCTTGTTCCGTCTCGTCTTCTCTTCTCGAATTTCGTCGTCGCATTTTGCCAATGTGGACAATATGAGCACAGCAATCTCCCTGTGAACCTACGTGCGCGTGCATTGAATTCTACTCTGTCGTGAACATCGTAGCGTGCTGCGTTTTGCAAATCCCAGGAAACCCTGGGATTTGCGAAAAGCAGCACCCTGTGACGCTTGTGACAAAGTAGAATTTGATGTATGTGTCAGTGCACATGGAGATCGCTTGGCAAAGCTCGTTAGTGCTATTAGGATTAGGGGTAAGAGGGTCTGGGTGTGCTCCAGCACGCCGCTCTCCCAACTACTTCCATTCCTTTGTGACCATCCTCTCCGCTCTAGCACAAAACATTGCTCGTGTCTGCAGGAATGCAACATGCTTGACATAACCCATCTGACACTCCAAGGAAACTGACGCATGCATCGTATGCCTGACATTACCCACATGAGTCTTGGCGGAAAACTGCTCACCCTCTGCAGGGGTAGGAGCTGAGGCGATGATTTCGTTGTCGGCCGCAAAATGTTCAATTTCTTGGCCCTCTTTTTGCTTGGTCCGGAGGGCGGAGTGAAAAGGACAGAAGGTTCAAGGCCAATTTTGTGGGCGTAAAGAAAAAGGTGGAGGACATGGTGGACGTAAGGAGCGCTTGTCGGCGGAACTGCTGGTTGTGGTCATACGTTCAGCAAGTTTGTTCTATGGGGAAAAAAAGGGCAGAAAATAGTACCGAAAGGGGGCTCCCGATCTTCTTCATTATAGCTGATCTTCAAAATGGCAGGTACCCAGTCATGAACAGGAGTTGAGGATGTAGTCGAGGATGAGCATCGCCAGCAAAAGAACATGCAAACTGAAACGTACGAACAAAATATTTGAGCGCACAGTGAAATTTTATTTGAGGCTCCTTCCAGTGGAAGCGATAATGACTGTGCTTTCCAGTGGTAGCATTTCGGCAATCCGAGGTGGCCAACTAACCCTTTGGGGTGAACTACTACGAGCGTCGCCAAGCTGTCACACTGATTGTGGAACCCCAATCGTTAAACCACCAGTACCTACCACGTTTTTAGGCATTAACGCGGAGGCTGAATCAGTGCGCCGCACGGGTCCATATGATTTGAGTCGGAGGGGGCCTAAGAGCCCCTCTGGGGCACTGGTGGTTTAAACCACCGGTACTTCTGACCCTGTGGGTACCAACAATGCTGGCAGGAGTACACCACATTTTGTAGTCTGTATGAGGGACGCTGGACCCGCTTTCCAGCAGGTGACGCTCCCCACCAATAGATGGAGCCTCTCCCCAGGTGCTAGTGGTGTCTGCTCTTATCAGCACCACTAGCACTGGTGGGGGTGTTTTCTCAAAAAAAAAAAAAAAAGGAAAACGAATGGGCGCGGAACGTTTTTTGGCGGGTGCCGCCAGACATTTTCCTCCAGTAGGCCGACCCTCAAAGCTTGCGGGCGGCAAGCGTACTGGTCAGGTAGACACCTCTAGCAATGCCTCCCAAGTTCACCGCGGGAAACGGATTGACGCAGACCTTTTGACTGGTGCTGCAGACATTTTTCCTCCCGCAGGCCGACGCTCAAAACTTGTGGCCGGCAAATGTACTGTACTCGTGGGGTAAACACCTCTAGCAATACCTCCAAGCGCACCAAGGAAAATGGATTGGCGCAGACATTCTTTTGGCTGGTGATGCCAGACATTTTCGTAGCGTGGGCTGACCCTCAAAAAACTTGTGGCGGGCAAACGTACTCGTGGCGTAAACACCTCTAGCAAATTAGCAATGCCTCCTAGTTCTATATAGTATATATCAACAATTAAAGTACGGCCTATTCTTTGAACCTCTTACCCAATGGTCAAACGATGGGTATGGTTGAGCCACCATCACCACTACTGAGTTGATTTTTTTTTTCTGCCTGTATCTGAAGCAGCCAACGAAAGGGTAATCTGCCATGAGCCAGAGAAGGCAATCTATGTATCGGTCGTTTTGGCGAATGGTAGTATGCATGTAGAAGGGTGATTTTACATGGCATGTACAAGGCAGCTCTTTGAACTGTGAGATTTGAAGTTGCGTCAATCTGGGTTCTCCGGGTGAACAGTGTTACAGGGCAAAAATGGCTGGCAGCACCAGCCCTTAAAAAAGAAAAAAGGTATGGCGGGTGGTCGGTTTTCCATGGGCACGCAGTGCGAGTTCGTGTCAGGAGAAAGAAGAAAGAGGTTAAACAACCAGTACTAGGCCCATATATCGGCCGCCGACGCATGTTGTATATGCACAACTTTCCGGGCCTTTTCGGCTGTTGATGAATTTCATCGACGGTCTGCGTCGGTTTGCTGTTTCGTGCGCTGGGCGATTTAATGGTCGGCATCAATAGCTGGGCGAAGTACTGGTGTTTTGAAGGTACTGGTGGATTAAACCATCCGCATCGAGGTGGCATGTCTCCTAATGTTCACCTTTGCCTGCCCCTGGACTTGGACCACTAGCCCGTTGGAGGCTAGGTTGATGAAACAAAAAAAAATTGCATTTTGCAAAGCCTAAAAGTGACCAATACCAGCTGCTTGAGAATTGACACGGCACCACCACTGGCCTATCTTTTGTTGAGAAGTCTGGGCCTCCCACAGACATTTCCGAGCCCGAAGTTGCTGTTCTGCATGCTCATCTGGCCCTGGGCCAAATGGGGATATCCAGCGACACAGCCCCCCGCACTCGCACTGCACGCCAAACCATGAACTTTTCTTTAATTTGGGCTGGCACTGTCAGCCATTGCAGAGGTGGGCAAATTTTCTTTTTCCTCACCCTCGACCCAACTTACCCAGATTTTTTTTCCCCCAATACACCCCGACCCATCACCCTGTGGGTCGGGTGGGTGCAAGTGGGTGCGGCTCTGGGCGCCCGGTGCTCTGAGCCATTGTGGTCCGGTGGCCCTGTTCACCCGGAGAACCTGGATTGGCGCAATTTCAAATTGCACGGTTCAAAGAGGTCCCTTAAACATGTCCTGCAAAATCACCCTTTTACCATCCACCAAAGCAACCGAACCATCGGAAGCTAGATCGCCGAACCAAAAAGTGCACTTGCCGAGCCTAAAAGTGACCAGTACTGACCGCTGGAAAATTGGCACGGTATCGCTGTGGGCTTATGTATTATCTATTGAGAAGTCTGGGCCTCGCACGGACATCTCCTGGCCCGAAGATAAGATACCATTCACCGCTTGCTCTGCTGGCTCTGGGATGAATGACGATATCCAGGGAAACGGCACCCCTGCACTTCACGAGCGTTGCGGCTGCATGCACACCGCTACTGTGAAAGAAGAGCTGGGAAACGTACCGATAGTTTGACAACAGTTTCCTTTTACCTTTAAAGCACCAGTACCCCCGGGCCTGGAGGCGACCTACTGTGCGCCAAGCTTTTCCGAACCGCCAGCGGTGCACTGTCTTTCCATTTTGGATGGCGCCGCCAGCCATTGTTGTCCGGTAGGCCGACCCTCCGAAATTTTCGTAGTCGACGGGTTGCGTTTTCAGCAAGGCTGGAGCTGCATACTGGCGGTTTAATGGTCCGGATGGACTCTGATATTCTGCACAGCCTTGTCAGACGGGTCAAGTACTACGTTACTACGTTAGTCGGGGCAAGTGGCTCAGCCCAAGCAGGACACACAGAGGCCCCACTTGCCTGTGTGAACTGACCAGGCCGAAAAAGGAGGAAGAAATCACCAGAAGCAGAAAGTATGAGCTCACACTGGATCACCCGCTTGGGCTGAGCAGTCAGGATCTGGCCCTATCTTTCTATTTTGTCATGTTTCATCTAAGGACGCCGGGGGGGAAGGTGTTATATAAAGGGGGTTGAAAGAGGTTCGAAAGGGTTGAGAGGGCTGTACCTCAACTTGAGTTTGTCTGTTTTATTTTTCATGGCCACTCGAATATGAAATTTCTGGACCGACGTTAAGCGGAAGTTTTTTCTTTTCTTTTCTTTGCTTTTCTTAAAAAAAAAAAAAAAACAGGATCTGGCTGCCAGGGGGGTGAGAAAACGAGCATTCCACCCGTAGCAGACATAGATCCGGACCCTCCAATCTATTGGTGGGAGGTACACCGTGTAACACCTGCTGGAAACTGGGTTCAGTGTCCCTAACAAACCATAGACACCGGGGCCATTGCCTGGTGTCGGCTCCGTATTGCAATTTGATGCAACGTTTTTCAACTCTTCTGATTTTGTTTGTTGCACCCGCCTGGGGTCTGCCAGGACACCTCGCAAGCCCGAGGCAGGCAGGCCGCCATGGTGTACCTGTTTCCGGTCACTTGAGATCCTTGCCCAACCGATACACTGATAAAGTAAGACCACATGAAGACCACAATAAGTGTATAATACGACTCAGGCCATGGGCAATATCAAACTTGCATTCATTCGTACACGCTGTCCTACAAAGTGACAAATTTATCACTAGGACCTGGGTTAAATCTAGCACAGCGGTGCACAGATCATTAAAGCAGTGTGAACTGTTATCACCACATTATAAAGTTGATGATTTGACATGTGAACCTACTCTGCGCACAAACAGGCTGCATTTGGTAGGTACGGCTGGCAGATTCGTGTGCATCGGCCTTCAAAAAAAAAAAAAAAAAAAAAAATTTACTACAGTTTTAGTCGTGGGAACGAGGTCGATCTAATTGATGATTCGCACAATAATTCTTCCCCACAGTGTTCATCGACTGTGGCACTAACAAGGAAGAGAGAAAGGCTGTGGCAGCGGTTGGTAGAAGGTCAGGGTAACCTCTCACCAGATAAGTTGGGTATTGTGATTCTTCGAGTAAGATGTAAGGAAGGAATTTGAGAGGTGGGATTATTGGAACCGTGTGGAGCAATGCATGGGGAGGTGACAGTTAAAGGTCTGAAGTCTTTCGTTTTTTTTTCTCTCTCTACTTTGACGGAAGGAAAGGCAGGGGAATCCTTAACCAAATGGGGGATTCTGAAATTCATTAAAGACCATCTCGAATCGCGAGGTCTTAACCTTCGCTGGTTTGCCACCAAGGCCTTGAAAGATCTGCAATTACTTAAGGTAAAAGCTTG